CCACCCATGCCTACAGTGTTTCTGTCCTTTAAGTCTCAGGACTTTGCCTCTGTTACCTTCAGCGTGTTGTGACTTCTCACGCCCCCAGACTTCCTGCTCCAAGTTCTAGCTACTCCTGCAGCTTTGCCATCTCTCAATCAGCCTCAGACCTGCTCACACACAGACTTGACGGTCCTGACTACAGCCCTGGTCCAGACAGACATGTTGCTATTCATTTTCATCTGATATGAAAATCAATACACAGAGACCTGCTAAAGAGGTGCAGTCCACTGCACTGGCAACCAGGCCTGCATTCTTTAGTTCCAGAACAGATTGCTCTTTATCCTCTTGGTTGTGGAGATCATCTGTGAACTATGTATTGCTAAAGATGTGCACATTCTTCCTGAGCTGCTGCGGCTCACTGCAGCCGCCATGTTAACAGTCTGCAGAAAGAACTACACTGATGAGCAAAGTGGAACCTGCAAAATAAATTGAAAGGATGTACAAGGGCGCGCTGGCAACTGTCTCATTAGCAGTCCATGTTTTTATATGTTCATCTGTGGCAGTGGGGCTGTGGTTCCTAAATTTGTCTTATGGGGACTTACTGTTTCACTGGTTCTCAACAGTAACGCTGTTCGTCTCCTACTACACGGCTTTCCTAAACTCCTCCGCACTTTTAAAGTATCTGTGCAAGTAAATAATGACAGTTTCATGAGTTTAAAGGAATTTATCTCCCCAATGACGATGATAATATTCCTTGTTAAGTACATTTACTCAAATACCCAAGTACAGTTTTGATGTGTCTGTACTTTACCTGAGTATTTCCATGTCCTGCTACTTCACTCCATGTCAGAGACCAACCATGTCCTTTTTACTGCACTACATGTATCTGATCATTTCAGATACTTTTTAGTATCAGATGAATCAAACCAAACCCAGTAGAAACATCAGACTCTATAGATCCCTGGTGGGATATTCACCAGCTATCCAGCAGGATACAAAGTACTTCCCAGTATAAGTATATAAGGTCGTTACCATCAGCTCCACCTTTACCAGCTGCAGCATTAAAGTGATGAACACAGTAATGGATCAGTCACTATGATCCAGTATCAGAGACATTAATGTGACATACAGTAGTATATAGACTTCAGTAAAGATACCTTTGCAGTTTTATCTCCCATTTCAGCTACAATAAAATTCAAGCTTCTAACAGCAATATCAACAGCAACTTTAATAAACACAGTCAGTAAGAATTTCCATCACATTTTACAGATTAACTGTAAAAAAATGCATTGGTTTCTGGTCAGTGACTGTTGACAGGATAGATAAGGCACCAAGGTTAAATCAAGCCTGGCTCTCAGCCTGGTCTGGAGCAGGTTAGCTGCACAGAACAAAATCTCCACAGTAACTTAATTTAAACTGCTTTCATGGATCTGAGACAGGGCTAAATTCAGCCGAGTTAACTGGCAAATCCCGGCTTAATCCCTCATCTTGGGTATGTGCAATACCCCCGAGGTGTTTTCCAGAGGCAACATCTGCTGCGGCACACTGGCCCCAAACACTCCAGACCTAAACGCACCCAGTCATCCAGCCGTCGTGTTTGTTGTTGCCGTCGTTGCACACTAAACACAATGATTCATTCAGGCAGCCAGGCACATCCGAGCGCTCCGCTCGGAGCGTTTGCGTCAGTGACGCAATTTAGCACCGGTGTAAACAGATCCGAGGCGGATAACCGGAGTCGAATAGGAAATTCAAAGAAGGAAGAAAAAAAACCCTATTCTCTCAACCTCAAAATTGTTTTTAGGAATACTGTAACTGAATCATTCCGCCGTTATTAAGGCTCAACACTTAACGCTGAACATCTGGTGGAACATTTTGCGACATTTTACGCAATTTTCTGAGGAAAAACCACCAGAAACTACAATCTTTAAGAATTGTCATAAAGATGAGAACAGGGTGATAAAATGGCCACAAACCATGTCTAAGTATAACAATTACTACATGAAAACTGCAATGGGGACCTGTCACCGGGAAGTCGTGATTTACGCGCCGCCTGGATGCACCGAGTTCATAAACAGGGAAGTGCATCCGTCTCCATCTGTGCTGATCGGATGCGCGGAGTCTTACCGTGTCGGGCGGCCGCGCAGAGCCGGCAGGAGGCGGTGAGGAGGAGGCATAGAGCTGCCCAGAGCCGCGGAGACATCATAGCCGCTCCAACATCCACGGGAGCGAAGAGGGGGAGAGCTGCCGCTGCTGCTGCGCTTCTAGCAGCTGTCCATCCCAGAGAGGCTGCTGCTACTGCACAGGACTGACGGAGGACAAGTGCGTGAGAGAGGGAGGAAGAGGGGGAGGAGGACAGGGCAGGGTTGGTTGGAGAACCCGGGCAACAGGAGGCGCCACACCGCAGGAAATTTACCGAGCAAATTTAAGATTTTATTTTTATTGCAATAAGGTCAGTTTGTGCAAGTGGGCCCCTGTGCACGGAGTGTTTGTGACCGTTTCCCGTCGGTTTCTAACTGTTTGGAGTATTCATCATCTTTTGCACCTTTTTATAGTCACTTTACATCTTTGCACTTATTCAGACTCAGGCCACATATTGTGCTTGTTTTTGTCAGACAGAAACAAATAGTCAAGGCTGCACAGCCCAGGAAGGGACCTTTTATTTTCAAAGCCATTTCATTTCATAAGAAAGATCAAGAAGTGCTTGTGTAGTCCTTGGAGTATAATCATAGCCTGCTGGGGCTGAGTATCAATACTGTCCACTGGATTTGTGATTTCTAGCACACACAGCACTATTTCAGCGTCAACACTGAACCCTGCAGCAGATCCTGTGCCATCCTTCAGTTCCATCAGCTGCAGCTCTAGTCCACCACCAGCGTGCTCCTGACTGTGGGGAACAGCTCGAAGAAGCCCTGCAGGAGGAAGCAGACAGGAAGTGGCATCAGAGTTCAACACATGTACAGGAAGTGAAATAACTGGCAAATAAACGCAAAAAACCAGAGTCAAATGGCGAGGAATTAAAACTGATTGACAGACCGGTCAAGAGACATGACAGGAATCTCTGCCTGCAGAAAATGTGCAGTGCGACAAGAAACAGGTTGATGTGCTCTCAGTCACTTCACATTTATGTTGTGCATGTGCTCCAGTTTCACGTTGGAAGCTCACTGTGTTTCCACCACAACTCAGACCTGTTTCACAAAGGAGTCCTGGGTCAAAACATTCTGGTTCCATTCAGAGTTTCAGACACATTCCTGTTTCCTTGCTACAAGTTGCCTTCTTCATTGCATGTTACTGCTACCAACTGTCACTCAAACAGTGTGAAACTAGCAGGAGGATGTGAATCACACTGCCCACGTGCACAACATAATCGGAGCTGGTTCATCATTAACTGGTTCATAGTCTTTAAAATGTAAGAAATGTCCATCAGAGTCAAAGAATCAAGGGTTTGGTTTCCCCTGCAGGATTCTCTTCAGCAGTGTTACCGATGTCTGACTACAAGCGCGTCATGGTGGAGGAACGGCAGTTACCGATCAGGTTATTCATGCATTTACACACTGACATACATAAGAAACATCCTGTCATGAAGTTTAGTGTTGTTGTGCTGCCCTCCTGGGACCAGGAGGTTAATAAAACCACTGATTGGTTTGTGCAATGAGTTTTTAAGCCAAGGCCCTCAGCACCTAATTAACACCCAAATCTCCCCAGAGGGGGGACTCATTAGTTTGAGCAGGTAAAACAACCCTTTCTGCTGCATTAGCTCTCAAGACATGAGCAGGTAAAGTTTTCTTTTGTGTGCCAAACTCAAGTGAAGGGGTCTCACATGGGCACCACCCTCACAGAGGGTTGGTGGTACTACCTGCAGGCGTCAGTGCACTGTTGTCCAACTAGATTCCAACCTGAGTCATCACTGGCAAACATGCAGGTGTCCCAGTGGACGTCAACTCAGTACAAACCTCAGCAGGACAGGTGCACATATCAGACCACTGAACGCCGAGGTCAATGTGGGAGAGTGCGACCGTTTCATACAACCTCCGGTCAGCTGCCATGGTTACGTCTCAGTGTGACAAAAAACAGTCTCATTTCAGAGGCTGGAACCAGGGAACTGCTGTTGATTCATTTTCAACAGTCTCATTTCAGAGGCTGGGACCAGGGAACTGCTGTTGATTCATTTTCTGTCTGTGCACCATTTGGTTCATTTTCACCCTGCAGTTCTAACTTTCTATTCAGTCTGCGCTGACACTGTCAGTGTTCAGTCAACGCTCGGGTCCTTTTTAAAACAACACACATACAGGTGAGCTCCTGGTTTCCTTTTAATGCACAACTCAAGATCACTTTCTGCAACAGTAACAAACATCCCTCTGCTCTAGTGCTAAGAGAAAAGGTGCGTTTGTTTCATTACCTTGAAGAGGGTGGAGGATTGCAGGACACTGGAGGTGCAGCACATCTCCCTGATGGAGTGCATGGAGAGCTGCGGGGAGCCCATGTCGACCACAGGGATGCCGAGGCGGGCAGCCAGGATGGGCCCGATGGTGGATCCACACGGGCTGTCGTTCCGGACCATCACATCCTATAGACAGAGAGAGGTCAGAGGTCAAATGCAGCAGCTTCTCCTAATGAGGTCTGTCTTTTATCTCATTTACTCCTGGAAACATTCAGTGGCTCCCGCACTCTGTACCAGGTGACCTGAGTGCCCCTGTGGCCGCAGCACGACGTCTGCGCACAACAAGGACTAAATGAAGTCATTCTAAGGCTGCTCTGTGCAATGCCGCCATTTCAGTGGAAACATTTTAATGATTAAATAAGCACCAGTGGACAGACCAAAAAGAAAGCCCAACAGTAACTAACCCAAATATCAGAGGTGCTCAGACTTAATGAGCTGGTAGAATGTGAAACTGGTTTTGGTTGGTCAGGACAAAGAAAACACCTGATGCCAGTATTTAAGCAGAGGCACCTGAAAAGGCTTGAGGAGGAGTCATGGCTTCACATGTCAGGGTTGTTATCATCTCACTGCTCAAGGGACCACAGTGGCTAAGCAGTCACTCTGCTGCACATGACTCTTTCCTTTGCCAGTAAACAATCTGAAGTAAAGGAACATATGTAGAAAACGTTCTGCAGACCTGGGAATGAAGCGTGTTTCTGTGGAGAGTCCTTGTTTCCTTCTAATTACTGGTTATAACCTGCTTTGATTTTGACCTTCACTTTTTGTCTCACACAGGGATTCTGCTCTGTCCCTCTCTGTGATCTGCAGCAGCTCAGCACGTTGCTAGGAGATCTGTACCTGTAGTGGCACGCTGACCCGGCTGGCGACTTCTCGAATGATGGAGGCAGTGACAGCTGTGGTGGCGTAGCGCTGGTTGCTGTTAAACTTGATCACCGGGCCCTGGAAGAAACATAACACACAGGTCACACACCAGTATGTGATGACACACCGTCCCACAGCTGGGGTCTCACATCGTGTGAAGTAAGAGGAAATGAAGGTGTTCACCTTGTGGAACGCTGGGCGGTGGTTCTCCTCGTGCTTCTCCCTGAGGACAAACAGTTTGTAGAGATGAACTGGGACACAAAGAGGAGACATACTACAGCGGTCGACTCTGACAGTAGACTGATCTTGAGCCCTACAACACTAGTGAAAATGTCAACCACAAAGTAAACGACACTGTTCCTCAGCAGAGTGATGTAGACGGTAGAAGCTCAGCCAGTTCTCCCACACTAACAAACTATATTCAGTAGAGATCTTAGCTAATAAATCACTTTGCATGACCTTTTGAAAACATCTAATGCATCATGTCCTAACTCATCCACCATGTAACGCTACAGTTGAGCGAGTGCTTGCTGTCTGTGCAGCAGCAGACAGTGTGTCGGAGCTGATACTGACTGGTAGTTGGGGTGCACGGCGTGTGCCATGTCAGCACTGATCATCAAGGAGCACGGCGCCGCCTGCTGGAAGGCGGTGAGGTTGGAGGAGGAGGCGGCCAGGCGGCTGAGGATGAGCTCTGTCAGGTTGGACTGAGCACCCTGAGCGCTCTCGGACCCCACCTGCAACACATACACAACATACGTCACTGGAAATCAGAAAACAGACACCTCTGTTCATGTTCATCATCGATTCATCGACCAGTATCTCCACAAGGTCCGAACCTCGCCAGCATGTTGACTTCACAAAGACATTCAGTCAAACAGAGTCAAGCAGCCAATCTTCACATTTAGCACAAATAACTACCTACCACACTCGTGAACCACTGAATCACTTCTCCACAGCTTTCAACAGATCTTAAGTTATTTCATTGCTCAGGCTCCAGTGGAGATGGCACACGTCACTAGAAGCTGACGAGACATAACTGTCTCTTCTCTGCGTTTTACTGCCCCAGGGCTGCCAGTCCAGTCTGACATCTGTCTGGCATGAAGTGTTTTAAGAAGCCACACTACACAGCCATGATGTGTTCAGCTGTCTGCCTGATTCACACCTTCTTCTACCAGCTGCTTCCTGCATCACCTGGTGTGGATAGGTTCTTATCACACACCGGGAGGAGGATCAGATTCTCGCCAGCACTCACCTCTTCGTTGTCATACAGGGTGATCATGCGGATGTTGGGATCTTTGGCCAGAGAGTCTCCAGAGCACGACTCCACCAGCCCCTGAGAGAGAAGGCAGTCAGATGTTCATTAACCAGGTGGCTTAGGGTGGTTTGTGAACACGACAGGACAAAAACACTGCGGTCAAACACAAGCTACAAGCGCGTCACCAGAATTGACCCATTTCATTTTACAGGGATTAAAGAGCCATTTTAATCCAATCTACACTCAGCCCAGAATGACACAGTGAAATCAGGTTTTCTTGTACATTTAAACTAAATGAAATCTGAACTCTGAGGCTCCAGACTGCAGCCAGCTGCATCCTGTTTGCTTTAACTCTCTGTCTAGAGCCTGACCAAAGTTCATCTGTGCCAAACTGAACCATGGAAGATATAAAAGAACAATAAGTGTTTGCACTGAGTGGATGCAGGTGACGGGTACAGAAAGGTGTGGGTGCTGAGCAGGACCTGGAGGGCGCAGTAGCAGCTGTGCAGGTTGTCCAGTCGTGGAGAGTAGATGAACTCCTCATACACACCTCCCAGCACCTGCAGAGAGAAACAGAGGATGTCATTTGTCATCTTGTTGAAGCACAGAACAGGTCAATCTTCTGCCGTCTCTCTCAACATGCCTGCGATGCCATAGAACATTTTATCTGATTGTTTCTGGAGCTCCTGTAACTCTTCATTTCTCTGTCTGGTGATACAATAGCATTTATTTACTGACTTATCCACGTCTCATACGGTCTTCCTGTGTAGTCTAACATGCAACCAAAGAGCAAATGATTCATTAAATTAAAAACATCACGTGTCCTGCTGTTTGCCACAGTTGGTTCCTGATGAGAGACTCAACACAAACTTCTCTGTGCCAGTGTTACAACCTTTGCATTACTGATAAAAACAAGACCTGATCAGAGAGCTCAGTGCTGCTCCGGGGATTAAACTGGATTAGCAGCAGTGACAGGGAGTCGCTGCAGACTCACCGCGGGCTGTGTGTCAGCCAGGCACAGCTCAAAGTCCAGCAGCGCCTCGGGCTCAACGCCCAGCTCTGAACACAGTAGCTTGACCAGCGCCGGGTGGTGTTTGTCAGCCTGAGGGGGGATGACAAGAAGTTAGCATTCATTCTGTCATCAGCCACTGGGAGAGACTGGGTAACATCTGATCAACTGTGCATCTTCCAAAACCTTTAAGGCCTGTAAAGCAACTACATTTCCCACACTGCCCAAGCTTTTGCATATACAACAGTGAAGTTACACTTCAGGGTGTGACTGTCTGAAACCCAGCCACAATGTGCCATTTCTTCCTCTGTGATGTCGTCCAGAGCCAAACAGCTGCTCACGTCCTCTGTGCCTGTGATGTTAGTACCCAGACATGTGTCAAGTGAGTGGTGTTACCGTGTTGACAGCGCAGGAAGCATCTGCAGAGGACGAACTTCCTGTCTCCAGCTCCTCCTGGATGGCGGTGGCGATGATGGGCACACTGAGATACAAACACACTCATGTCAGTGGGACAAAGTAAAACAGAGCCGCTTGCAAGAAAACAACTCCTACGCAAATATTTTCATTCTGTAAAATTGCTGTCTGTTTCTTCTCAGCTCCCATTTGCGATAGCACTGAGCAGCTGTGCTCTTACTGACAGGTGATTCTCCTTGTTGGGGCCAAAGGAGTCGTTGATATCACGCTGCAAGTGGATGGCCAGGTGAGGGATCCTGAGCAGAGGTCGGGCCACATGAACCAGCCGGTGGAGCAGCCTGCCATTACTCTGCAGGAAGAGACACACAGCATTAAACCTCACGAATCACTGACGGAAACCTCACCCAGCTCTGGAGCAGAAAACCTGAACATTACGCAGATTAAAACGTCTGTAGCTCCAGAACCACATTGACTGTGTGAACCAGAGAGGAAAAGCCTCCAAGTTTGTTTGAAACACTCCAGGTGCCACAGCAACAGAGCTGGAGGTGTCTGAATTCAGTAGAAAAAAATTGGTTTGACTAAAAAAAAGTTTTCTGTATTTCAGTCTGTTTATATCTTTACATGTAAACAAAATACCAATGAGTAACATGATGTGGTCCAGGCGGCTCCACACAGGACACATGGAAACCAGTCAGTACAGGGTTGATGGATTTCATCACCTGGAGCCAAATTAATCACTGATTTTAAAATGTATTATTACAATAAGGCTCAGGGTTCTGAAACTGGAATCAAGCAATATAACGGGGCTTCTACTGTATGTGCTGGAGCACAAGATGGAGACGCTCGGCCCAGTTAGCATGTCCAATAACTCACTGGAAGTATGAGTCTCAACTTCACACTGCATGTGACACGCTTCAGCCAGAACCTACCACGTGTCTGTTTATTAGTGGTGGGACGCAGCAAGGTGAGAAACAGACAGAAGACCATCTGCTGGCTCAAGACCCACAGACCCTTCAGAGGAGAAGGAAAACACCTGAAAACAAACCAGTGCCCACACCCAATCTAAACGGAACATGCTCTCAGCAGCTGATGACATAAACTGAGCCATATCAAATAACCTCTAGTTAAACATGCCCCTTAATCCCATCTGTCATGTCCAGCAAACTGTGTAAAACTCCAGGCACCTTGACCATGACGCGGCCAGCGATGGTCAGATCTCGGTCGAACCAGGTGTTCCAGATGCCTCCACCATAGCACTCGACCCCGACCTGCAGGCAGCCCTGCTTCGTCCTCTTAGACCTCGGCTTCACCTGAAAGCACAGAGACAGTTGAAAAGCCAATGAACAAACAAACAGTCACCGAACTCCTCAAATGTAGGAACCTAAAGGGAAACTCCCCCCTGTGCTAATGTCAAAACAGGCTCACTCATGTTCTGGATGCAGAAATCAGATATCAGGACACTTTGTTTCTGCTTTTGTTCCATCAGCATTCTCCAACATGCGCTGGTCTGATGTAACAAACAACCTGAGACAGAAACATGCTGCAACAGGCCCACACATCAGAGGCGCTACTGATAAACACGGCCAGCAAATCTCCCCTTTCACATCCACACCGTGTCCCGCTCACATCCTGGCCATCCTGATGTAAGACAAGCTGTGCTCAAAGGGGGCTCACCCTGAGGCAGGGGCTGTCTGTGTGGGCTCCGACCATGGAAAAGCCATTTCCTGGCAGGTAGTGTCCTCCCACTGCAAAGGCGATCAGGGTGGAGAAGTTCCTGGTCACAAAGTACTGCAGAGAGAGGACATAGGACAAGACTATGAAAATCGGTGTCTTCATGGCCTTTGATGAATCCACCCTCTGAATTCCCGAGCTCCTGCAGGACAGTGGACCCACCTTGGTGGCTGGCCTGATGTCCCACTGTTCCGTCTCCTTCAGCTCGACGAACCCCGCCTCCAACAGACGGCATCTGCATTCTTCAACCACTGCAGGGAAGGAAAGACGAGGAGACATGAGGCGTTTATTTGGTTCTCTAATAGTCACAGTGGTTTCTCACCCAGCTGGAGTTAGCTCCATCAGTCCGGTCCAGAGTTTCTACACTAGGACATTTGCCTTCCTCAACATGAGGCAACATCTGACTAACTGTTCTGTCTGACCTTTATCTGAAGAACTTATTTGTGTTCCTGTCTTATTCACATAGCATCACTTTGTCATGACAAGTTTTTTCTAAAATGAGCGCTGTAAAGATATCCAGTGTCTGACTGAGGGACGCGGTACATCTGTTCACATCCTGACAACAAATGACTGTTAATAAAAGGACGGCACACACCACACCGAACTGCAGCAGCATCTCATGGTGAAGCAGATGCAGAATGTGTTAAATGTTGGTTTACAAAAACTCTGAAAATGTGACCCTTAGTATCATAAACCATTTCAACTGCTTTGACTAAATGGCTTTCATCTTCTATCGCTTTACCGCCTGTGTGTTCATCAGAGGAAAACACTCACAGAGCAAAGGTAACAGACATTATTAATTATCTGCAGAAACATCTTATCTCAAGCTCAAAGTCGTCTGTAATTTCATATCGCCGACATGCACAGCTATTTGTTCTCATACTGGACCATCAATCATTACCTTTAAAAATTAACAGATGGAGCCAATCATAAAACGGTGGCAGTGGGTTTTGTACAAACAATAAGGCTGAAAACCGTGCAGACAGAGACAGAAGTCAACATTAGAGCCCGACACTCAATCCCTAAAATAGAGTATCACATATTAAATGGCAAACCAGCAGGTCAGTACCAAGTTTAGCTATGACTCTGTGATATTTGGACATGGTACTTAAACACATCCAACCGAGGAATGCTTTTCAGGTTTGAGTTTAGAGAAAACGAAACATGACATATTATTGAAAGTGAAGTACGAGGTTCAGATTGTCAAGTGTAAGGTTGTAAATCAATAACAGGAATGTTGGTATTCAAATATGTTTGCTAAAAGTGCACCATTCAACATATACAGTTATACAAAACAATTTTCCTCATCAGGTATGAGGTCAGTGTTGTAAGGGACAAAAAACGAGTTTGTGATGAATCCTTAGTTTCTCTGCCTTTACCGTGATACGGAGACACTCCTCTGTTGACAAAGTGCAGGAACTCTTTGGCAGCTGAGTGCACAGCCTCTTTGGAGCTCTTCATGGCCAAAGACTGTAGCAAAAAAGAGCAACAGTCAGAAGATAATACAGCAAATACTTAACTCATTGCAAGGAATGACACTAGCAACTACCAGCTTCCTGAGCTGGTTCAAACCTCAGACAGCAAACGCGACAATTCATCCTTCCCTCTTAACAGTCAATAACACACAGTTACAAGCTCCAAGGAATGGGAGAGAATTCACATGGAAGCTCGGTATAGGAGATCAAATTATGTTTTGTTGGACTAAACCAGTCCTGCATGTCCTTTTATGAAGAATGCTCAAAAACAAATCTGTCCTTTGAGATATTTATTACAATCAATATTTAAGAAAAAATATTCAAGAAAAGCAATACAGAGCTCTGGATTCCGTCTCTTTTTGAAGCCCCATCAAACAGAGAAGTCAGTGCATAGCTGCTGCAGGAACCACGAGTTTCCTCTGCATAGAGAATTTATAATAAGAGTCATGCAAACGATCTGACGTCATCCGCGTTGTCCTTCATCCTCGTTCCTTGGTTGGTTTCTTGACCTCGTTCTGACCCCTCATTTGGTGATCTTGTCACCAGGCAGATTTTGATCTGTGACATTCTCAGTACAACATATCCTGACCTTTGTGGTTTCCTGTCTACTCTTACAGCCTTACACATGTCTCCTATATTCTTAAAGACAAGTGAACTGGTTAAAGCAAAAGTAAATCATAAAGCATATGATACTAAAGTAAACTTGTAGATATATTTGCTAATGCAGATTATAATGTCAATCCTAGAATTTCATATAATGTTGATAAATGTTGATAATCTGAAGCCAAGACAATCAGACCTTACACCCACACACAATTCTGGTGCAGACAGTTTAGTCATCTCAGTATGTATCTGCACGACTTCTTGTTGTTGTGAGTCTCTCTGCACAAAGCATTTCATGTCCACAAGTCAAATCTTTACAAAGGTCACACAGATTAAACAATTATTTGAACAGTTTTGCAAATACATAAGATAGCACTACATCATTTTATCAAGAACTTCTTTCTACAGTTTACCCATTATTTATATCCCTAACTCACCTAGCAGAGAGACAGCTGACCTGGCTACAAATCCCCACCGACCAACCTCCAGGGGGCGGGCTTTCACTTTCCAGCACCTAAACCTTTGCACCTAAAATGAACCGAATCCTTCCCGACTTCATGTCCCACATTTCGCTCCAACTAGATTTCTTTCTTTCTACATCTTCCCATCTCATCCACTGTCCCTGCTGAGCCTGGGAGGCATTTCCGGCAAATGAAACACGTACTATTAGCAGATCTTTGCTAGCTAACCTGCACGGGATAACTTGCGCTTTCTGCCTCTTCTTCGCTCCTCGTGCTCTGCTGGCCAAAATCAAAGCAGGTCCCAGTTTGGGAGAAACAACTACACATAACGCAAGAGCAAATATTAATTTTTATGGAACTTACCTGCATTAATCAGACTTTCAAAGTCTGACCTCCGCCAGACTGAAACCGAAAAAACGCTGGAACTGCAGCAGAAGAAGTGACAGACGCTATAAGTGTAGCCAGCCTCTCTTCTTCTCCTCCTTCTTTTGGTGTTTATTGGCGGTTTGCCAACCGCTCAGTAAGGAAAGCAGCTATTGGCTGTTGTCATCGCCTAATTTGCATAAGTGTCTATTTCCAATAGTGATGGGAAGTTCGGATCATTTTTCTAATTCGGTTCTTTGAATCTTGTTCAGCAAAATAAACGAATCTTTTTTCGAGTCATTTCGTTCACTTCAGCAGAATGTAATTAAAATGTTACATATTAATTTCCCATCTACTTACGCATATTGATAAGTAAGTAAGAAAGAAAGAAAGATTTTCCCTGATGAAGTTTAAAGCATTAACCAACTCTTTATTAAAACATTCAGTGTTATGGAAAAGAACCATACTGACAGATATTCACAAAATTATAGTCTGTAGGAAATAAAAAGCTATTTAATAATAAAAATAAATGCATTACGTAACAGTAAGAGTAAAAAAAACTATAAGGACGGTTAAAAATTAACCAATTTCTGTATCCAACAAAGCGGTCATCTCACGTTACAAAAACGAACGACTCGAAACCGAGGACTCAAAGGTACTAATTAGTACCAATTAGTACACCGTTCGAGTTACATGGCAGTTTTGTCAGTAATACTGTGCTTATGCGATGTTGCGCGTGCGCGGTCAACACAAAATGAACAATCACTCCCCGAGACGACCCGATGTTCTCGAGTCATGGGAAAGATTTGTTCAAAATGAATGAATCGTTCGTGAACGACACATCACTACAAGTAATTGTAATGGACACTGTAGGAGAGAGGAATAACGTCGTGTGAGAGACAAAGAATGAGTAAAAAACACCCTAAATATGTTTAGAACTACAAATGAACTTTCTTCTGTTGATACTTGTTTTTTCCATTTAAATAGGCCATCACTTCTCAAAATAACTTCATGACTTTAATGCTTTGTCTAGACCCACATTACATAAATCAATTTTGTCCTGTATTGTTAAATGTTAGAATATCAAATTTAATCAAAAGACTGTTATGTGGGGTGTAATTGCTAGTTCTGCGTCCATCCCTCCTCCTTTATCCAGGCTTGGGACCAGCAAAGTGACCCAAAAGAGACACTGGCAGAGTTACAACATTAACAATCTAAATGGACCAAAAGAGACAACAGAAAAAAACTGGCAATGGCAATGTGAGAAAATGGTCTGGCCCTAATTCAGGTTTATTGGGCTCCACTATCTCCCAGGACCTGAAGTGGACGTCCAACATCAGGACCATCACCAAGAAGGCACAGCAGAGGATGTACTTCCTGTGTCAGCTCAGGAAGTTAGACCTGCCCCAGGAGCTGCTGATACAGTTCTACAGAGGAATCATCGAGTCTGTTCTCTGCACCTCCATCACTGTCTGGTTTGGCTCAGCAACCAAACAGGACAAGTACAGATATGTACAGGCATCTAAAGGTGTCTCTGCAACAAAACTGTTGCAGTAATGTTCCCTGCATTTCATTGTTAAATTTGAAAAGTAAAGGAACATGAAACAGTACTGAAAGGTCTGGGTACTTCTAGTAAGCTATTGTAGAGGTTTTTATCATTTAAAAGCAATTTTCAGTGTTTAACTACTACAGTATTTGACATGTGTACAGGTACAGGTCTCTAGTTTTAAGAACTCTGTTTTTATTTCTATTTATCTCATTTCGCAATGAACATTCCTTTGTCTGTCTGCATTGTTTACTGCCTGTTTATACTGTTTATTTTGCATTGTTTGCACTGTCTGTTGCTTGTTAATACTGTCTATTTTTTTATACTACACAGCCTTATGCTGGTTTACTGTTTTCTTGCCCCTTGCATGGGGATATGTACATACACATTAAGAGCCGATGTACCAGAGTCAAATTCCTCGTGTGTCCGACACACCTGGACAGTAAAGCAGATTCTGAGATTTTATTGTTTGTTTTATTCAGACCCCCCTCTACACACACGCAGTGCTGGCTCACAGAAAGAGTAGGTCATCTTTCTATGGTGGGTTCAGCAACTGAGGGAGCTGACTTAAATGAATAAGGAGCTGATGTGCCAAAAAGCTGCAAAACATTATCAGGCAACTTCAGACCATATCGGACATACAGGATGGAGTTAAGGGTCTGCAAGGACATTCGATTTCTGAGTTTTAACTAGAGAGGAACAAATTTGTTGCTACATAAAGCTTGATATTGTCAGTAAAATTAAAACTAAAAATAACATTCACCCTGAAGTATACATGTAAGTCCCCTTCAAAGAAAAACTGCCTGTCACATTGCTGTGATCCAGAATTGGGATGCAGTGGTTACTAAGGACTTACAGCTTCATTACATAATTAAGGCAACAATTATCATCATGCACCAGTATAATCACTTGCTAAAGAAATTCCCCTAGGCTCATCCAAATCATACTTCACTGGAACTAAAATGTGAACAAGCTATTAAAAGTGGAAGTCTGAGAAAGCAGCTTTACATGCTTCCCCAGTGTGATCACACACCAGCATGGAACAGTGCAGAGTCCATTTTTTACTCATTAAATTTTCAGATTTTGCAACTATAACTTTTTTTAAAATACCTTAGGGTCATTTAATCTCTGATAGGCTATGTCACAACCAATCCTAAAACCTATGTGACATTGGATTAGAATATTTTAAACAACCTTTTTAAACTCTTTATTCCTTTGTGTTTCTACATTTATACTTACAAGGTTTATTCCCACTTACATATTTCATGTGTTTTGTTTTAACAGTTACATTTTTTTAATCATTTAAATTGTTTTGTGCACTAATTTACTTTTTAAGTTCAAATTTATTGTCACAAACCGATGTGAAAGTACTATCTAAATAAAATTTAGTTTGATTTTTGACAGATAACTATGATATAAATTTTCCATATGTTCTTAAATATGTGATTATATTATTTTTAAAGAGACTGGGATGGTTCTTTAGTGGTTGTCTTTGTTCTGGTTTCTTTCTTCTTGTTTTGTCCTGTTATTGTTCTATCTCTTGTCTTGCAATAAAAAAAATCAACTAAGAAAACATCAAACTGAATTATAAAATTGTCTAAATTCTTATTTTATATGGCTATTCTATGTACAGTATGACAGTCCACTATACAAGTCACTACAGAGAGCATCGACTAAACACACCTTATTTGGACTGCTTGTAGTGTTATAATGGAGTTCCACTGGACAGTAGTGCCACATTTTTCTAATCCCAGTGATGAGAAATCTTCCATTAAACACAATTACTAAGTCTAATTATGTACTTATTTGATCATTTTTCTTACTATTATTAAATCCTCTTTCTGACCTCATGCAGCCATTTATCTTTGTATTAGCAGGAACCAGCCTTAGCCTTATATAGTCCTGAACACCCAGGGAGGAGGAGGAGGAGGAAGAGGAAGAGGAAGAGGAAGAGGAAGAGGAGGAGGAGAGGGAGACAAGGACAAAGAACTGTTTACTTCAGCTGCTAGCTCCTGTCGCCTGTCCTGCTCTTGAGGAAGGCCGGAAATGAAAACACACATTCAGGGTCTATTAATAGTCAAGAGAGCCACAGGCTGCATTTGGAGCCTGCAACATACTGGGAGCTGTGGGAGCTTCTCTACAGACACCAGTGGCTTACTGGTGGGACTGTGCTCCAACAATGCCTGCCTGCATAAACCACAATATACTACACCCAGTGGTCAGTTTATTAGGAACACCTGTTTCAGACTAACCCAACAGTCCTGCAGTAAATCTTCCTTCATGAAGGTGATCGTATTCAAGTTGGGTCACAGAGGTGTCGGTTCACCTATGTGATCACAGTGGAGGCTGTTTTCACCACACTGAAATGCACAAGGCTACACAAACAGCTCCACATTTATTATTCTAACCACAAAGGTGTGGTGCCTCATAATGACTGAGGTGACTGGGAGGTGACTGGCTAATGGTGAGAAGATGAAGTGAGTGTAATTACAGCAGGATTTTAAATGTTTAAAATCTTTAATTCTCCAGATGAGTCACACTTCTACTTTATCCAATGGTATTCTGTATCATACTAGATCATCTATTAAGGCATACTGTTTATTACATCATGTATTATGATTAATATAGACAAGTGTCAGTGCTCATATACTGTTAAGGTGTCTGCTGTCACAGGCAGTACTCATTCTCCCTCTCTCATGACTTTGTGGTGTTTCTACCTGTCATGTTTGTGTCTTTGGTTTTATTACTGTAATTTGTCACACTTGTTGTATTTTATATAAAGAGCACTGCTCACTAAATAAAGGCTTGGAGCTGAGAGTCTGTGTGTAATGCTGCTAAAGGCTTCACTTCAATCTGGATCAGTGACTGTCACTACATAATTAAAAAAAAGTTTTGAAACCTACAGATTCTGTGACATTTCTCAGCTGGTTGTTTTACTCTCAGAATGTTTAACTAATAACTTCAAAAAGAGTTGCAAGAAAAAGACTTATGTCAGACTGGGTAGAAAAAGGGGAACACTGGTTGAAAACAGAGTTCGATTGCGAGCACAGGAACCCTCCCCTTACAACCACTTCACTATCACACATACTGTTTGGGAACGGGGGCTTTTTTCTGCTGCAGGCACAGGCTGCACCACTGTATGTCTTAAGTTGGGATAGTTTTCCTTTTTAAGGCAGGTTAGATGAAGCTCGTCCCCCTTGTGTGCTGTCATTAACAACAGAGCTTTGAGAGCCACTGTCTGTACCTCCTCACATTGCTATGGCATGATGTCACAGAGGTTTTCTCATGAAACAGGCAAGTAACAAATGACAGGACGACCCAGCACAGAGTCTCAGTGAGGTGCTGGGCCTCCACCAGAACAGCTTCACCTTGACTCTCTAAGTCTCTGAATGCTCCTGGATGAATGAACACCGTTCTTTTAACAGATGCTCCCTCATGTGGTGTTTTAATGATGGTGGTGGAGACGCTGTCTAACACGTCGCTCCAACATCTCCCACAGCTGTTCACCTGGGCTGAGACCTAATGACTGTGAAGGCCACAGCATCTGATTCATATCATGGTCATCCTCATCAGACCAGTCAGTGACCCCTCGTGTCCTGTGGACCCTGTTTGTCTGTAGATGTTTGAGGAAACAAATACAATATAAGACAGTCTGCACACACAGGGCTCCGTGATCATACTTTGGTACCTGAAGCGACACTTCATGATTGCAGCCCCTTGCATTTTGTTGAAGCTGTGAGAAGAACCACAATTCATCCAGAGCCACACTGCAGGTGTGACACAGCAGGAGCCCAAGACACAGAGGCTTCTGGCCAAAATGTCAAACTTGACTCTGTCTTCTTCTGCAACACAATGCACTGAGCTACATAGAGGATGAAAGGGAGGGAGGAACATAGGAAAAGAAAGAACGGAGGGAAGAGGGATGAAGGAAACAGAGGAAAAGATGAAGAGTTGCAGAGAGGGAGGATGATAGAAAAAGAACAAGTAGATGGAGAAGTGAAGGAGAAAGAAACAAAAAAGAGAACAGGAAAGGAAAGCGAGGGACAAAGAGGGAGAGAGATGAGAACAAGTCGGAGAGACACAGGGGTGGTTCCCTGAGAGGCGTGGGTACAAACTGAGGGAGGGGGCAGCTACAAATAGCCAGGGGCAGTAGGCTCTTCTTCAGTGCTCCTCTCTGCCGCAGCCCTCTCCAGGCTCTGTGTGTCCTCCAACATGGCTTCCTACAGCTCTTCTGCCCAAACAGCCTCCTCCTACCGCCGCACCTTTGGCCACGGTGCCTACGCCTCACCCTCTCTCAACCGCTCGCTGCTGGGCCACAGTGGCGGTGCCGGGGGTCGTGTGACCTCCAGGGTGTATGAGATGACCCGGACCAGCTCGAGACCGGCCTACCACCTCTCCTCCAGCTGCTATGGCAGGCCACTGGCAACATCACGGGCACGCTCCTATGCTGGCATGGGTGAGACGCTGGACTTCAGCCTGGCTGATGCCCTCAACCAAGAGTTCCTGACCACCCGCACCAATGAGAAGGCTGAGCTGCAGCACCTGAATGACCGCTTTGCCAGTTATATTGAGAAGGTCCGATTCCTGGAGCAACAGAACCAGGCATTGGTGGTGGAGGTGGAGCGTCTGCGAGGCCGCGAGCCAACACATATCGCTGACCTGTATGAGGAAGAGATGAGTGAGCTGAGGAGGCAGGTGGAGATCTTGACCAATCAGAGGTCACGCATAGAGGTGGAGCAGGACAACCTGGCTGATGACCTGGACAAGCTCAAACTCAGGTGGGAGGAGCGTGTGTGTTTCTTTAAGAACAGGTGTGTGAGTTGAACTGTGTGTCCTATTTTAGCTCACTACCATCGTTGTGAGGACATCTGTACATTGTGATGACATGTCCAGTCCTCACACTGTCAGGGTTTGAGAAAGGGGCTGGGGGCTATGCATCTGTAGACATGTCTGTGCATCTCAGCGTGTACTGTTTGTGTGTGTGACTATGTGTGTGTGTGTGTGAGAGAGAGAGAAAGGCTGGCAATGAGGAACATGAGTTTGCAAAAACAAAATAACACAAATGCAGAAAAGCGCTGACTAAGGAGGCAGTGAACTGGAGCCGACCAGGTGTGTGTGTGTGTGTGTGTGACACACACACTGAGCCATGTCTCTGTGATGTGCTGCTGAGTCACACGTGTGGATGAATGGCGAGATGAGATGATGCACATGCGTGGGGGAGACCGGCTGTTGTCTGCTGTTTGTTGTGTATTTTTAGAGCCTGACACAGGCCCTTGATTTTAAAGAATCGTGCCAGTGTTATGTGTGTTTTTGTCCATTTTACAAGTCACATTACTGTGTTTTACAGGTAACAACACACAGAAGCTTATATAACAACATATACACAACCCAGACTTTAGAGGGCCGCTATTGGTTAATTCAGCATTTGGGGGCGGGGACTGCATGCAGACATATTTGTAGTTCTTTACAAATCTTTACAACTACAAATTTTCATCTAAAGCGCCTGCATTTTTGTGAATTTTACACTGAAGGGTGCAAATTTGTACCCGTACCTTTACTTTTTATACTGGTAGTTTGTTTTGGTGTCCACATTTACAGCCATGAGAGGTTCAGAATATTAGGAACACCACCTGTAGTAGAAAGCAACAAAGTACATTCACTGTAGTAAGTACTGTACTGAAGGGTAACCTTGAGGTAGTTTGAGTATTATCTTTTAATGATACTTTATGCTTTAATTTCACAACATTTTATGTACCTTTTCTTGCATTACATTTATCTGACTACTGCAGTTACTTTGCAAATTCAGAATACAAAACATAACAAAGAAATAAACAATGACTTATTATTACAGGTGAAGATAAGATCAGACTTACTGATCCCTGGTGGGAAATTCACACGCTACCAAGCAGTACATAAAATCATAAATATTAGCTCATCATTTACAGGCTGCAACATTAAAGTGAGGAACACAAGAATCAAGCAAGAAAAATGTATGTAAAACCACCAGGTTACAAAGTGCTTCACAATAACATTAAAATCATAAAATTGTTAAAATGCATAAACATTAATGCCAACAGCCACCTAACTCTGACTGGATTTAAATGTCTGTGCAAATAAATAGGTCTTAAGACAAGATCTAAAAATACTTAGATCCAAAGAGGATCTAGGATCCATAGGAAAGTTGTCCCAGAGCTTAGGACACATCACTACAAATGCTCCATCTCCACAGGATTTCAGTCTAGATCTGGGAATGTTGAGAAGTACCTGACATCCCTCCAGGAAAAGGTACAGGAATATAAAGACTAAAACAAACAGACTGAGACACAGCTTCTTCCTCAGAGCTGTGAAATCAATCACCTCCCTAACCCCCAGTCACACACACAACCTCCCCCCTATGGACAAACACAGACAGAACACCGGACCTCTGCAGACACACACCCATGCTCACACCTCTTCCTAAAGACTGAGATTTGCACTGAGCTGCACTTTATAATGTTACTACCATCTTTTGCTGCTAACATGCTGCTGACCTGATTAGGTCCCATACATCCTCCTTTATTTGTTCATATCTTATATTGACTTATGCAATTTTGTGTTATTTATGTAAATAATGTGTCTTTTAAGCCAAAAGCTGCCAGAAAAAATTTCATTGTGCTATGTATAATGACAATAAAGATTCTTGACCTCTTGATCTTGATCTTGACCTGATTAGCGGATCTTAGCATTTGTTCAGGATTATAAACTTGTATGAGCTCAGAGACTATGCAGTGCTTTAAAAACAAACAATAAGATCTTAAAAATGACTCTATAACAGACAGGAAGCCAATGTGGTGCAGCCAAAATGGGCCTTAGGTGCTCATGTTCCCATGTATTTGTTAGTAGGCGAGCAGCTGCATTCTGAAAAGACTGGAGACGGGCTAGGGATTGACATGAAACCCCAGCATACAAGGCATTACTGTAATCAAGACTAGAGCTGGTAGAAGCATGAATTGCCTTTTTGAAATTCCCACATAAAAGAAAATGTTTACCTAATACTTGTTCATAGTGTTTCTACAGTGTGTAGTTTCATCAGCAGTTCAGATTTAGACATGACAATGAGCTTCTGTTTGCAACACACACAACACGCTCTAAGTTGTGCCTGCTCCCCTGAGTCTGGATACTTTCTGGGATGTTTGACTATAAAAATACTGGATGACTAAAGCGTTGGTGCACGAGTTCGCCCAAAGCTAGAGCTTGTGTTTACACTATAAAAGGAGAGGAAAGAGCTTGCACATGTCTGAAGCATCTCTAATGATCTGTCCGTTCTCTTTGTCTCTGTGATTTACCCTTTCATTGCCAGTTTGGTTCAGTGGTAGAGAGTAATTAAGTACAAATCTAAGGTACTTGAGTACCTTAGATTTGTCTAGTCTTTTCTCACAACTTTGTACCAGCACTCCACTCATGGATGGATGAGGATACACTGGGCCCCGACCTTCCTACACAGACAAAAACCCCAGACTGAAAGAGAGTTTTATGTCTTTATTTAGTGGTTTTAAACAGGTATTTTATTATTTTGTGCCTTTTTTTTTGCTATTCTCTATCTATATTTAGTTGTGGCCACTTGTTTGGTGACTGTCATTTTTCATTTGTTTTTAGTTAATTGGCTTCTCCCGATGGTTTCTTTGCATCTGATTTCAGAAGAAGTCATGTTGATAAGTTTATGTCTGTAAAAAAGTAGACATTTTCAGTCGAGTTACCTCAAAATTAATAAATTGTACCATATGTATTTATGTTCAGTTAATGAGAAAGAAAACACTGACTCCACTAAGTTCTAGCATGATGTTTCACAGTGTAAGAACAGAGCACTCTGGCTCTAATTACAGGGAGACCTGTAATTAGAGTCGTGAACTCATAAGTCAGTGAGTTGATGATCTGTCTGTCTCTGTGGCTCTGACCTGGTCCAGACTGCAGGAGGAGATTCTCCAAAAGGAGGAAGCAGAAAACAACCTGGCTGCTTTCAGAGCGGTGAGTCCTGCACAACATTCAGTTTTTACTTCCACAACATGAAACAGACTAGAAAAAAAGGTTATTGTAAATGTTGAGCACATGCTTTGCAACTAGGGTAAGCACAGGTTTGGACTAAAATACACTGTGTAATGTGTGAATGGAATACCAAAGTGTTCACTGACTGACTGCCCACACTGCTGCAGGATGTGGACGCTGCCACTCTGGCTCGTCTGGACCTGGAGCGACGCATCGAGACGCTGCAGGAGGAGATCGCCTTCCTAAAGAAGATCCATGAAGAGGTAGACTGAAATAATAACAGCAAAATTACAAAACAATAACATTAGTTAAATTTAACAAACACATATGAAGAACAGGAGTCAGAGAAGAGGTCAAGTGTCAACTCCCAGCTGCTGTCAGGCACAAAGGACACCTGGCCCAGATCTCTGCTGCACCACAGAGCCCGTCACACCATGGCCTCCTGTCACAATGTTAGGAAACACCAGACAGGCAGACGGAAGCAAACAGGCAGTGGTCGCCTCAGACAGACAGTCAGAATTGACGAGATCCAAGTCCACAGAGAAACAGGTGACGCACAGTGTAAAGGCATCACAAGGCATCTGGAAAAACTGAAATCTCACAGACTTTGTTGTGATCCTGTTGCTGTCCTCTGTTCAACTGTGCTGCACTCTGCCTGTTTGACAAACAAGAGATAGACTGGGAAAGTCCGGAGTGTCACACACAAAACTTGCATGTGGCTGAAGACAGGTCTGAACAGCTCTGACATCTCCCACAGCAGATGTACAGCTGAACTGGCTGTTTCCAGCCTGAAGGCTGATGAGACCCGACAAATGATTTCTACAGCATTCGCAGCTTTTAGGACTGATATCAGGTGAAGGACGATCACAAAGCAACAACTGTCAGTGAAGATGCTTTTGTGGCCCTGACCACATTAAAGTCTGAATAAATCAAGATCTGGCTGTCCAACACGTGATCACGTTGGGCTGTTAGAAAGAAATCTAATTGATGATACCTTTGCAGTCGACAGCAAGCTTTAGGGTGTAAAACACACAGACAGCGGCTTCAATTCTGGGAGCTGTCATGTTGTCCATCAGTTCCCATAAATGTTACTGGTTGGTTGCTGCCCCCACCGAACACACACACTTGCTTACCAAACCTGACGTCTATCTTCCTTGTCCCACAGGAGATCCACGAGCTGCAGGCCCAGATGCAGGAGACTCAGGTTCAGATCCAGATGGACACGTCCAAGCCGGACCTGACGGCGGCACTGAGGGACATCAGAGCCCAGTATGAAGGCATCGCCGCCAAGAACATCGCTGAGGCCGAGGAGTGGTACAAGTCCAAGGTGAGACACAAAGAGATGCACATTATATATTACTACAGTTTATATGTGCCTCTGAAAATGTGGTTAAGTCAAAGTACGAAGTTTTAGCAGAAAATGGAAATGCACTTTCAAAGTTGAAGGAAATGCACATGCACTCCAAAGCAGTCTGTGTGCAGCTTTATAACAAAGGTAGCGGTGCTAGAAACAGCTTTAGTAATAATAATGGAGGGAATAAGTGGCACCTGACCTTTGACCTCTGTCTTTGCAGGTGTCTGACCTGAACCAGGCAGTGAGTAAGAACAACGAGGCCTTGAAGCAGGCCAGGCAGGAGACCATGGAGTTCAGACACCAGATTCAGGCTTACACCTGTGAGATCGACTCGCTCAAAGGCACTGTACGTCACACACTTGTGCTCTCTTTCATTTCTGTAGCTTTAGGCCCCACTGTGACTCCTCTTCTCTTCGCCAAACCCAGAACGAGTCCCTTATGAGGCAGATGCGGGACATGGAGGATCGTCACGGGCACGACGCCAGCAGCTTCCAGGACACCATCGCCCGGCTGGAGGCTGAGATCGCCAACATGAAAGATGAGATGGCACGCCACCTCCGTGAATACCAGGACCTGCTCAATGTCAAGATGGCCCTGGATGTGGAGATCGCCACCTACAGGAAGCTGCTGGAAGGGGAGGAGAGCAGGTGATGCTGGAGCCCAGAGACAAACTTTAGGTTTTCTGTGACCACATCTGGAACAAAACATATATCATGACTGTATATTCTGTTAATAATTAAAAATCTGTGAATCCAGTGAGAAAGCTTCAATGTCCCCCTCTTCCTGACCATCTGTACTTTCTTTTACCTTTTACAAGTGGGACAATAATAAGATTGTGAGAGTGTGTGTGTCAATTTGTATGAAAAGAAGGTTTAATTGTAGAAAGTGTGTTTGTCCTGGAAAGAGAGAGTGGGTTGAACAGATTAGAAGGAGAAATAATGCTTTAAAAACTAGAACTAGTGCAGCTAGAAACTGGAATAGAATTATAGAATGACTCACTGAGATGAAACAGTCAAACTGGATGATGTGTCATGTTTGTGCCACTCATCAATTGCATGTTATGTGTGTGTGTGTGTGTGTGTGTGTGCAGGATCACCTTGCCTGTGCAGACCTACTCCACCCTGAGCTTCCAAGGTACGAACACTGTTCCCTGCACACATCAGGCCCCTGCAGCAGCACAGGCAGAATAAAACATGACCTCATTAACACAATGAAGGGAGCGTAAAATGCAAAAATGTAATATTTCCTGCAGGAGAATAATTCACCTTGTAAGAAGTGGCCTCATAATCAGTTTGTATTCCATCAAATACACTTAACAATTAAAGGCCACTATTTTACAGTCTTAAAAACTTGTATATTTTAGAGGGTGAGTGTTTTTTTTAGTGGTTTTGAAAACAGATTATTTAGCTGTGCTTCAAATAAACAAGCAGTATAAAGTTATTTTTATAGAAAATCTTTTGTATTTAAATTTTTTTCCATGTTAAAAAAATATTAACCTTTGAAGTCCAGGTATTTTCCTTTAAAAAGCTCACACCATGAATGGGCTCTTCAATCTTGAAAAAAAAAAAGTAACTTAAAAGTTTAAACGTTTCACAATGCATGCTGGGAAGTCTGCTAGTTCAATGTGTGGAACAGGACATTGTGGTTATTCACAGCAGGACTTTCTTGTTATTTTTATTTTGTAATTTCACAGTATGTTTTTATAACTGTGCTGATATTTCCATGTATGTTTTTTGCAGTGTAGACATCAGGGACAGACATATTGATTGACCTTGTCTGATTTTCTGATTGGAACAGAGACGAGCCCTGAGCGCCAGCAGCGCTCCTCTGAGATGCATTCAAAGAAAACTGTCCTCATCAAGACCATGGAGACGCACGGCGGAGAGGTGGAGCAGCAACACACTGAGAGCTGACGTCTTTGTTGGGCTGCTGCAGGCCATTTCAGTCGTTTTACCAGAACAACTCCAGATTGTTTAAGTTGATTAAAAACATCTCACAGTGATAGAACTTGGGTGTCCTATAGCAGCTCTGTGGGTTGAGGCTAACCTCATCACCTCTTGTTCTCCCTGCTCTAATCTACTAAGGTAAACTGGCTCCAGAAAGTAACCTTAGGTAGAAAATCACATGAAGAACAAACATCTAGAAAACAGTGAACATAAACACCTGCTCAGAGAATAGTTCAACAGGCCTATGTCTACACTGACCAGCAGTTAGACTGGACCACTGTTCACCTCTCTGCCTCTTGTCCTGGTAATACCTGGTAGTACAGCTGACCTCTGACCTTGGCATAAAAGAAATCTGATGTAAAAATGACCTGTGCTGCACAACATGCTGACATTTTTGACCCAACACATGTAGCGACTAGTTCAGACAACAAGCACCCGCCAAACATCCTGCTCCACCTGAGTGGAAACTCACAAGACACACATCCCAGGCGCATTGTTGTTCTTGTCCTGTTTTGGTTTGTCTTTAATCTCAGCTCTATTGACTTGGCTGAGGGACATGCTGCTGTTTTCCACTTCTTGCGGTGAAGAAAACCCTGTAATAATTAAAAACACACAGAAAAGCCTCAAAGACGGACTCTGACTGTTGTGTTTCTGCTCCTCAGCTCGTCAGCGAGTCGACACAGCATCAGCAAGACATCATGTAAACACCTGCAAAAGACAAAGAAGAGGACCCCAACATCTGTCCCTCACCAAGTCCGGCGGGTGAAGAACCCACACAAAGAAGATGCAGAAAGAAAAGCAAACAGAGACTTTAAAAACCTGACCTACACTTTGAAGTGAAGTTAAAGTAACGTATCAGGGTTTATTTATCTGGAATGTTTCAACATGTATGTAGCGTTTGGTGCACAGGCTGCATGAAACCATCTTATTAAGTCATTTCTGTTCTGAGCACTCAGTCTGTCACTGCAATCACAACATTTGAACCTGTGTGAAACAAATCAACTTCTTTCAGACATTTTCTAGAAATCTTGAAGCGAGAGAGACTCGGACAGACCACCGCACTAGAACCAAGAGAGCTTCAGGTTAAAAGTTTGAGGCCAAAGAAGCAGATGATTTTTGCAGTTTATTGCCAAAATACTTTTGCATTGAATGTTCGCATCAGGCTTCAGAAGGCTAAAAGCTTTTCAGGCACACACTTCATACACTGCAACTTAAATTAAATGCCACAGAAATCCAATATTTCACAACAATTACAAACCTCCTCTGCTTTTGCATTTCATTCTTCAGCACATGAAGAGCACAGGTGGATCCAAAATACAGTTATACTGTTGTGTTGTGGTGTGGTTTCGTTCACATACAGCAGAATTTGTCCTGATCAGGAGCGTGATGACAATGAGGCAAGGTGCATGTGTTTATGCTTATCAACACCGGGACACAGAGAAGATGGGGGAGGAGATTAGAGAGTGTGTGGAGATGAAGCGTGAGATAGAAGCAGAAGTCGTGTGAGGTAAAAGAGGCAGAGAGGAGGCGGCGCCCTGGCAGCGGCATGCTAATCCCCTGTGACTTTCAAATTCGCTAATAAAGGCAACATGGATTCAGCTGACTCGTGTCTCTGTGTCCTTCAAAGACGACTCTCACACACCATATCGTACACATGCTTTAATCACCACAGTCATAATTCAGTTTAAAAAAGCATGGCACCATGATGACACTGCAAAATGAGAAATAAATACATCAACAAATAAATACATCCCACTGGAAAACAACATGTCTCTACCGACTCTAAGAAAACCTGTTGAAATAAAGAGGTAAAGTGGTAAAAACAACAAAAAAGTAAGTGCTGTGTTTTATGTACACATTTCACACTGATGCACATGGAAGGGTGAAGGGTGCCAGACGAGGCCCCGTGGGGCAGAGCCAGGACAGGATGGGAGGAGATCATGCATTTCTCTGTCCCAGAGATGAACACCAATGCACTGCACAACAGCCCATGCACAGGCTGCTGCTCCTTTAGAAAGACAATAAGAAAGAGTTCACAGTTCACAGCTGACAGAAACGCTATGTTGATCTAAACAAAAAAAAATCAGTGCACACGATGGAAGGAGCTGTTGGTCTAAGTACAACTGGTTTGGCCACTGGACCACTCTGTTCACTCAGAACGTCAAAGCCCTAGTTACACTGACACCTCATCCCCTTTACTAAGCCTGGTTCTAGTCTGCACAGATCTGACTGCTGCAGAGAAGACCAGCAGTTTTCACCGGCTTCTTCTGTGGTTTTAATAATCATAGCACCAAACAAACAGAGGGAGCTGATCTACCAGAGCTAACAGCTGAAGACTGAGTAGCCAGAGATCATATCTCTCCTACATTCGCTTCTCTCCACTGGCTCCCTGGAAAATCCTTCTCCTAACATACAAAGCCCTTAATGACAAGGCTCCATCGTATCTTAAAGACCTCATAGAGCCTTATCATCCTAACAGAGCACTTCGCTCTCAGAGTGCAGGTTTACTTGTGGTTCCTAGAGTCCACAGAAGCAGAATGGGAGGCAGAGCCTTTAGCTATCAAGCTTCTCTCCTATGGAACCAACTCCCAGTCTCAGTTCGGGAGGCGGACACCCTCTCTACCTTTAAGATTAGACTTAAGACGTTCCTTTTTGATAAAGCTTATAGTTAGGGCTGGATCAGGTGACCCTGAGCCTTCCCTTAGTTATGCTGCTATAGGCCTAGGCTGCTGGGGGGCCCCATGATGCTCTGAGTTTCTCTCCTGTTCTCTCCTTCCCTCCCCTCTCTCTTCATGCATCTATGTGCCACCATTACATGTCACCGGCCACATCAACCTGCCCAGTGTCTGATTGTCTGTTGTGTTTGTTTTATCTTCTTGCTTTTCTTTTCTCTCTCCTCTATCCACTCACGCCAACCGGTCGAGGCAGAAGGCCGCCCACCAAAACAGGAGGCTGCTGCTCTGCCAGCTTCCAGCTGATGGACAGAGTGAGATGCATCTTTTAGTTATTATATGCTTAAGGATTAAAATATTCCCTTTACTCTGTTTAGCAGTGTAATCACTCTCATTGCAGAGATGAATAAAATCACTTGTATACATGAAAACCCTCTAAATCTTTTTCCATATGGGGGAGCCCTCACAAGGTGCCAGTGTAAATATGGCTTCTTTCAGTCATCTAAATGCAAATCCAGGCATCTGTGAAGACAACAAGTCAACTTGGCTTCATTATGTTTTACCCTGCTTGTTGTAGCTCCCTGGCTAGCCCCCTCCCCCCCGAAAAACTCCTTCTGTGATCGCATTTAATGCAAAACCAAGCCAATGATGGGGGATCTGCCTGTAACTCCTCCGGCAGCTGAATAGTCCAGTCCAAGGAGGGGCAAGGCACCCGTTTAAACAGACTCCCCAGCCTTCAGAGAGCAGTAGTGTATCGTCCAGCACCAAGGGTGAGGAAGGCTTTCCACCCTTTAAAAACAACAGTAAAGATGTCTCTCTCCATTCAAGGAATATTTTTATAGTCCACATGGCACAGAAAGCAAATGAAGGATCCCTGTTTGCATGTCAGGGCCCTCACTTCCCTATAGATGATCTCCATTAGACGCTGAAGAGGCCTGCAGGCTTAGGAATCCGCTGCTCCTGTAGTAGGAATAGCACACTGATCTGGGGCTGGCTTTGATTTTTCTCATAAAGCCTGTGTTAGAACCTGAGGCGGGTTTGCACTGAAACTCCAATCCCTGATCTGGTTTGATGTGAAATGGTGACATATAGGTCGAGGCTGGATACAGCAGGCTGCTCTGGGTGTGCACTTCAATCCTGTGAGTATGTGTAAGTGCATGCATGGATCTGGATCTACTGAGAGACAGTGAAAAGAGGTGAGCCAGACCTCTGCACCACACTGATGGTCAGCAGGTACCCACATGGATAGCTGGGCTTTCTCATAAAAATCTAATTAGTAAAGGGTTAAACATGTGCATTTTGGATCAGCCCAGCCCTAATTATATGGATCTCATCTTCTCAAGGGATTGTGTTTAAACCCAGTGGTGGTTTGTACTAGAAAAGGTGAGTGGTAGTGATCAGAGTCACGTTTCTTCCTGGTGAAGTGTTCTGGCCTCTGGGAGGTGGAGGCTTCTCAGATCCGCAGTGAAGGCCCTGCTGCTCCAGTGAGGGGCACCGTGGAGCTGCACTCATAGCCCACATCCACCACAGTGTGGGGTCCACCGACCAGCTGGCCTGGGAAGGGCTGCGCCTGCACCTGCCGGTCTCGGAAACTCTGGATGTAGCTCTGGAAGGGGAAGGAAAAGCACTCATAGAAAACTTTACAAATAAAGAAACTGCAAAGACAGTAAAACAAGAAGAAAAAACACAATGTGCAAGAAAGTTGTCCAAACTATTCCTCTGCCTTCATGTATCAAATAGTTGGCAAAAAGGAGAATAGACTGTGTTTATACACCGATCAGGCATAACATTATGACCACTGGCAGGTGAGGTGAATAACACTATCTGTTACAATGGCACCTGTCAGTGTGTGGGGTATATTGACTTTGACAAGGACCAAACTGATGGTGAGATGACTGGGTCAGAGCATCTCCCAACACTGCAGGTCTTGGTGGGTGTTGTTGGTCTGCAGTGGTCAGTACCTACCAACTGTGTCTAAGGAAGGACAAATGGTGAACTGGAGACAGGGTCATGGACGCCCATGGCTCACTGATGATCAGGTTGACCTACTGTATATTAAACTTTTAACTTCCATTTGTTCAAAAGATTAAACTTTATTTGAATCTTTGTTAAAATGGTGGAAAATGAGAAATACTGTACATTGGTCTCTATGAAGAGATATCACACCATGTGTAGTGTAGTGGTGAGGCTGTTGAATCATTCCTTTTACTTAGGTTTTTCACTGAATTGTAGACACATTCATGCTCTTCCTGACAGTAGAACTGTGGAAGCAAATGGATTCACAGAAGATGCACAGTGAGCTGCAGAGTGACACGAGTGCCAACCAACTGCCACGTTGACTCCTATGTAAACAGTATTAGGCAGGTGGTCATAAGGTTATGGCTGATCGGTGTAATTTTCCTTGTGGTTTTTACAGAAGCACAGTGCCAAGACATTGAATGCAGCATCTGAGATAAAACTGGTGGTGGCAGCAGCAAACAGCATACTGCAGGAAGCCTGAGAACAGATGGGGAACAAAACACAAAACGACATGACAGAAACCAAGGTTCCTCACTGGTGAGAGGACATCTGTGTCGTAACGACGAACAGGGTTGGGTTTGCGGCGGTAGCCGGGCTCTGGGTGGAGCTGTTTGGCCGTATGGTGATGAGAGGAAGAGCCATGCTGCTGCTTCTTCTTCTTCTTGTTACGATAGCGATCATCTCGCTGACGGATCCGCATCACCTGCATCCTCCTCTGCTGCCGGCTGATGATTACTGTGGAGGACACAGGGCGGTCAATGAATACAGGCTCCTGGCTTTAACTGCAGAGTACCAGAACTCAAGTAGAAGCTAACTAGTGTAAGCTAGCAGCTGTTTAAGTATAATCTATAAGGTTCATAAAACCAGACTTAAATACATTTAACATTTTAAGGAGATTTTTCATGGAACCTTTGTCGAGTGCCTTGCTCATGGACACCTTAGTAAGGTGGAAGATTGCCTTTAAGCACCGATCTAGTGAACTGCAGGTCAAAATATGTCTGGACAATGAGGTTACCGGAGAAAAGTTGGATAAAACTTGAAAGTTTTACCTCACATATTTCTATAGTCAACCTTTAGCATGCAAACACTGGAGCATGTCATAGCGATGATGCTAATTTAGTATTTCCTCTCCCATCACCACAGCTTTTGGCCAACATGGTAAGCTGAGGCACTAATAGCACTGTAGTTATTTCCTCACCCTTGGTGTGGGAGTACTCCCCTGCAGTCACCTTCCACTGGACCACCACGCCCAGCAGCGTGAGGGCAGGCCACACCCCCAGCACCACCCACGTTAGCCAGCACACAGACTTTCCAGGTGCTGCCTTCATCCGTTCGTACATGTAGAGCACGAGGGCGAAGAGCTCCACGAAGTAGTCCAGTGCCACGGTGATGACGGCTGCACCGAACACCGCTGTGGACAGCGTGGTGAAGAGGCGCTGCCACTGCAAGGTGAGAACAGCGAACAACATGCCCAGGCCAAGCAGCACGCCCAGGGGCACCCAGACGGAGCGTGGTGGGCTGTTGGAAAGCTCCTCCATGCCCACCAGGGCAGCCACAGCCACCAGCAGGCCCAGGAGCAGCCCCACCATGAAGAGGCCCACGCTGCGAACCAGCATGGTGACCAGGCCGCACAGTGTGCCGATGCCCAGGCCGATGCCCACTGAGGCCTCCACGCTCAGCTGGGTGTCCAGCACGCGCTCCTTGTAGCAGAGCATGAAGATGACGACAGAGCCGAACATCAGGCCCGTCAGGAACATCACTGCCTTGAAGCAGCGATACCCTGTGGGAGCAGGAAGAAAGGGGTGACACTAATAAAGCCATCAGCTAACAGATCAGCCAAACAGGCAACTCTTCTAAGGAGGTAAATCCCCGCCAAAACATTTGTGGCCTGTACAGCTTCAGACATGTTGGCAGAGATTTACCTCCATACTCCTGATGCATTGCTCTCTGAGGGGTCAAAGTGTCGCACCTCAGTCCCGACTCACCAAAGAAGCAGTAAATGATGCCAAAGAGACAGCACATAGAGCAGACGACAGAGGGCACCACCTTGTAGTGGCCACCAGAGTCCTCACAGCCGTGCAGCCGCCCAGGGCTCAGCTGTTCCGGCTGAGCCAGCAGGATCTCCATGGTGGTCGTCATGGCCGACAGGAGCAGAGAGCAGGCAGGAGAAGAGGAGGTGGAGAGGAGACACGATCAGGTGGGAGGCTATGGGGCACTGCCCAGCTGTGTAGTGTTACCTGTACACAGGGAGGAAGAGGGGGACAGGCTAGACTGAGCAACAGATATGAATATGGATTAAAACCAAGACATAACAGTTGATGCAGCTCTACTTTATGATCAGCTCTGGCTCTCAGTCCAAACGATCGACAACCAAAACCCCAGTTACCCTGCTAATCATTTCTAATATACAACACACACACAAACAGAATGGGTATTAATAGCCCAGGTGTCAGCAGGTGTATGAGCCTCCTTCTCCATCTCTGTTTGATCTGGAGGCCTTTAAGGGGAACCAGAAACTCCGACAAACACACCGACTCTTTTCCAGCTAGCCAACCTGCCACAGGTCAGTCTACTGCCCCGTCCCCACATCAGGTCTCTCTGCTGTTAGAGCCTGGTTGAAGCAGTAGTTCGTGTTAAATCACCTTTATTTTTATTGCTTTCCTGAATGTTACCCCATCAGCTCTCACCTTGTGACGCTGTAGTCTCTCCCAGCTTCATATTACTGCTGCTCTCTCCTGTCTGTACAGTGCCTTGCGAAAGTATTCGGCCCCCTTGAACTTTGCGACCTTTTGCCACATTTCAGGCTTCAAACATAAAGATATAAAACTGTAATTTTTTGTGAAGACTCAACAACAAGTGGGACACAATCATGAAGTGGAACGAAATTTATTGGATATTTCAAACTTTTTTAACAAATAAAAAACTGAAAAATTGGGCGTGCAAAATTATTCAGCCCCCTTAAGTTAATACTTTGTAGCGCCACCTTTTGCTGCGATTACAGCTGTAAGTCACTTGGGGTATGTCTCTATCAGTTTTGCACATCGAGAGACTGAAATTTTTGCCCATGCCTCCTTGCAAAACAGCTCGAGCTCAGTGAGGTTGGATGGAGAGCGTTTGTGAACAGCAGTTGTCAGTTCTTTCCACAGATTCTCGATTGGATTCAGGTCTGGACTTTGACTTGGCCATTCTAACACCTAGATATGTTTATTTGTGAACCATTCCATTGTAGATTTGGCTTTATGTTTTGGATCATTGTCTTGTTGGAAGACAAATCTCCGTCCCAGTCTCAGGTCTGTTGCAGACTCCATCAGGTTTCCTTCCAGAATGGTCCTGTATTTGGCTCCATCCATCTTCCCATCAATTTTAACCATCTTCCCTGCCCCTGCTGAAGAAAAGCAGCCCCAAACCATGATGCTGCCACCACCATGTTTGACAATGGGGATGGTGTGTTCAGGGTGATGAGCTGTGTTGCCTTTACGCCAAACATAACGTTTTGCAGTGTTGCCAAAAAGTTCGATTTTGGTTTCATCTGACCAGAGCACCTTCTTCCACATCTTTGGTGTGTCTCCCAGGTGGCTTGTGGCAAACTTTAAACGACACTTTTTATGGATATCTTTAAGAAATGGCTTTCTTCTTGCCACTCTTCCATAAAGGCCAGATTTGTGCAGTATACGACTGATTGTTGTCCTATGGACAGAGTCTCCCACCTCAGCTGTAGATCTCTGCAGTTCATCCAGAGTGATCATGGGCCTCTTGGCTGCATCTCTGATCAGTCTTCTCCTTGTATGAGCTGAAAGTTTAGAGGGACGGCCAGGTCTTGGTAGATTTGCAGTGGTCTGATACTCCTTCCATTTCAATATTATCGCTTGCACAGTGCTCCTTGGGATGTTTAAAGCTTGGGAAATCTTTTTGTATCCAAATCCGGCTTTAAACTTCTCCACAACAGTATCTCGGACCTGCCTGGTGTGTTCCTTGTTCTTCATGATGCTCTCTGCGCTTTAAACAGACCTCTGAGACTATCACAGTGCAGGTGCATTTATACGGAGACTTGATTACACACAGGTGGATTCTATTTATCATCATTAGTCATTTAGGTCAACATTGGATCATTCAGAGATCCTCACTGAACTTCTGGAGAGAGTTTGCTGCACTGAAAGTAAAGGGGCTGAATAATTTTGCACGCCCAATTATTCAGTTTTTTATTGTTATCAGTCCAAGCTTCGGAGTAGCTCCGTTGGTCTTGTCTTTCCCTGAAGCCTTTTCTTATCTTCTGTGTCACAGCACAGTTTCACTGTGATTAATCATTTATATATTTACTTTAATTCAAGGCCAATGCACATAAATCAGCACCACTGTTGTCCCTTGGCCACATGTTCACAAAAACAATAAAACACACAACATATACAAGTTATGGCAAGAAAGAGCAAGTGAAATGTGAAGCAGTTGAATAAAACAGGCGAATGTAGTAAGGAGGAGTGTGTCCACCGTTGACAGTTAGACACACGGGTTCTCATCCAGACACGTCACAGTAATGATCAGGATTAGCAGGTCGCCACCACGTGTGTTTTGTAGTGCAGACCAAATGTGCAGCTGTTCACACACGGATCATCCTGTTTCTTCTTCCACTGTCGGAATCAGCAGCAGCACCGCTCTCCTCCTCCCACCCTGTGTCCTGTCTGTTGCCATGACGACGGTGGGATGCTGACAGGCAGCCGGCGGTCAAAAGCCTGACCAATGGCAGAGCAGACTATACTCCCATAGCAACAGTGTGAGAGCCAATCAGACATTAGCTCTAGGTTGTACATCAGTATGTGTGTCGCTCTGCTCCGACAGAAGCCCTCCTCTCATCTCTACACACACAAACACAGTCACTGTCCCCGTCTGGCCTCAATTCGAGTCCTTTAGAGGATGCAGCCAGTGAGCCTGTATGTTTGTTATCATCCAGAGACTAGAAGCAGCTAATGTGTGTAGGCCCAGACCCTGGTACAGCTAATTGGTCTGTGCTGTAGACCTCCACTGTTGTCCACCAGCTATTAACTACCCACCCCCCAGTGAGCCACACCGCCGCACTGGGTGCCAGGTTTCTTCCTCAGGAAACATGGGAGGCCGTCTGTTTCCAACAAACAGCTCCAACACATTGTTCTGTGCAGCTACTCCTCCACCTCCTAGTTGACTCAGTGGGTCAGCATCATGAACTGAGCCTTTGTTGTCATGGTTACAGTAAATGCAGAGCGTTCCAGGTTCAGAGACAAAAGTACCGGGCCAGGTTCAGTCTCCTGTTTCAGTGTTTTGTCACCTCCTCCCTACACAACTTAGTTTAAACAACAGTGACCTTTGCTCCTGTCACGGTGCACCTTCTGGCCTTCTAGCAGGTGCACTGGCCTCTACTAAAGCATAACTACAATGTGGTGTATTCAACCAATCTGACAAATGTCAACAGGAACATGATCAGAAAAACAAAACAGATCTATCTGTCAACAACACATTCCTGACTGATTTGACAAATGTGAACTCCCTCGCCTCTGTGTCACTGTTACTGTGTGGCTAAAGGAGAAACATGCCCGCCCCTGGATGATGCATTAAGAACAACATTCAGCTGGATTATCCGATTATCGATGTGAGCCCCCCTCGGCAAGACTAACAGCTGGAAATGAAATGGAAAATGCAGCTGACGTGGTGTGAAACTGTTTGTCTCCATAAAATAAAATGTGCACCACAGATTGATCGGCTGCACCATGAGACAGCAAAGTCTCACTCCTCCTCGCTGATGAAAAAGCAGTTTACCAGACTGTTTGTGGACCAGTTGTAAGAACCAGACACACTGACACAGACGTGCAGCCGTCTGACATCACCAGCCTGAAATCAGTGGCCGCACAAACACATGAATAAGGAAAACGGCATGTGTTAATAAACAGAGCGCACAGACTGGCAGAGCCACAGGCTAACTCAGCTCTGACCCACATGACAGAGAGACACTGCAGGTTCTCAGTGTTTCAGCCAAGAACTGTGTAGATTTCAAACCTAAAGTTTACTGCCAGGATGATAAATTCAAATGCTGTGCTGAGCTGTGATGCATTCAAGAGCTGCAGACATCAAGAGAAAGGAGGCAGAGAGGGAGCTCCCACCAACACAACCTGGAAAGCACAAAGCTGAAGGGTCAGACCTGATGTGTGTCTAAAATGCTGACACGTCACTGTTCTCAGGTCTTTTTAACCGGTGGGGCAAAATGCTGCAGAAGGCGGTAACACAGGAAAGGCCAAATTGTTTCCCAATTCAACAACAAACCATGGACGTCAATCAAAATACACGCACAAAATGTTAGATTCATCCACTAGTTGTCGAGCTCCTTCAGTCTAGGCCAAACTAATGACCAAACAACATTCCCATCCATGAGCCACGCTGCTTCTCCTCTCTACGGTGGCCACTGCAGGACAACACAGATGCAGCTCGTCAGGCTGGACTTGTGGACTTGGACTCAACTGTGGCCTAAACCAGTGCATACGTACAGGCAGGTACATGTGTGTTCCCATGTCTGTGCGCTGAAGGAAGTGTGCAGTACTGCAGTATGAAAATACTCTACTGAAGTAAAAATCATGCATTGGAAATGTTAGCGGTGTAGTTAAAGTATCAGAAGTCAAAGTAATCCCCTGTGACTGTTACACTGACAGATATGGTGCTGTTGGATGAATGTGTACAAGGATGCAGCAGTACCACCAAATACGAGTACATATATTTTAGTACTTGCTGATACTGAGGATTTCACACCCTGTTGGGCAAGAGATGATATTTTAATCACCTCATCATTTCTCTTCGTGTAACATACAACTGTAAGAACTGTAGTAACTACAGCTGTCAAACATCACAGTGAAGACATGCACCTTTAACTTACACTGCACATCACATTAGCTTTAAATTAAACATGTGGGTCGGCGGTTACCCACCTAGCACTGTGCTAAACTGAAAGCTAACATGCTAACAGCACCACAGTACAGTATTTTTCCTCTTTGAAATGTAGCAGTAGATCAGCCAAGTACCAGAACCTCACGCCTGTACTTGAAAACGTGCACTTGGTCCTACATGACAATGAACAATGTTCTCAGTGCAGGACACAAGCGGAGCAGGAGACGCAACTCATGTTGTGTTCATGCATCTTAATGAGCTTCATCAAGAGTGGAAGTAAAAATCAAATCTGTCCTCCAGTCGACTTCCTCCTCTGTCAGTGTCGATCAATGACTTC